TTGTTTTTTAACTATAGTTAATTTTGAAAAAATGTGGTATGGTTAGTTGTTAGTGGATATATTAAAATAATATCTAAACAAAATAATTAAAGTTGATTTGATGTAAAGTGGGAGAAAAATAATTAAAAGTGATGATTAGTTAAAAATATGTGAGTGGATGAATAGTAAATTAACGTTGATGTGATGTGTCAGAATGATTGGTTGATATTATTTAATTATATTGCTGATATGAGAGATAGTGAGATTGAGTTAAAGTTGAGTTAAATTCGAGTTTTGATTGGTTTTTTTACTGTAAAAACCATAAACAGTCTCCCCCTTTTAACTTGATTAATTCTCATAGAAGAAATGAAGTATATCATTTTGATAAAAAAACATATTAACTTGTTTAGTTCATAAATGATATAAGTTTGCATTTATATTGAAACTACATTTTTAACTCAAGCTAAAATTAAATTTTCAATGTTGACATTCATCTCCTTAACTTTTTCCCTTGTTGACATCCGAGTTAGCCGAAAAAAAAAAACGGATGGAAGCGATCCTAAAAGCCAGACCGGGAACCCGGTCAAAGGCGCAAGTGCCGAGCTGGATTCTAGACGAGCCTAGGCGCGACATCCGCTTGACGTCATTCCCGAGGTTGGCACTCGCATCGTTCAAGTGAGTCGACCTCGCTGGATGCCGACCTGAAAGAAGGATCCTGAAGGCTTATGGAAGACATTCCGTACGGGAGCCGACCTGGAAGCCTAGGGCGGCCACCCTAGTGGCGAGTGCGAAACTCGATAACAATATAAAATTGCCACTTGGAAGCTGATGATTGCTGATTAGACAAGCCGCCATACTGTTATCCTACAGAATCTAGCCCGACAAAAGCCTGCCAAGCATTAAATGCCCACCATGTGCGCATTAAATGTCTGATAGGTAATGATTGAGAAAACCTCAAATCGCATTAAATATGCCGTGGAGGCACCAGACTGCTCTGGAAGAACACTGTGTGATAAGACCGGTTAACAGTACCTGAACAGTGCCACATTTAAGGACACTATAAATAGGAACTCACTTCATTTATTTTGGGTTGTTGAATCTCAACTACTCAGCCTTCTCTCTACCTTCTCTCTCTAGAAATCTGTAATAAACTCTTGTAATTATCCAAAGTGTAAGAAAAGTGCCGACCTCGTTCACAGAGGCCGACCTCGTAATTACGTAATAAAACATAATTAAACCGTACTTTCTTCTCGTTTTCAGTTCTTTACTTTCATTAAATCTCATTTTAACCGTTGATTGGATCCGTCCATCAACATCCCCAAAATCATCAATCAAATTCATCCCAAAAATCTTCAACCTTAATTCGTACCCATTTTTTCAAAGCCATCATCTTTAGTTACCCGAAACACTAACTAGAGTCATGAACACCAGAATTCATAAATTTTAACATCCAAACCATTTAAATAAACAAATAATAGTAACCATTTAAAATTCAAGGTCAGATATCAAAACTAACACCAAGAAATGGCTAATTCATTATAATAGCAACGAGTACCAAACTGAAGATAACAAACCACCCAAAATTATTTAAAAAAAAACTCGATCTTTCTTTAACCTCGTCGTCATTATTTACAAGACTGAAGATAAATTGAAATTACAATGACAACAAAATTCAACCTTTCTATAGAAATCATGAGAAGCCCAACAAGAATCTCTACTCCAT